GTTTCCCCCCCCCCCCCCCTGATCATTTTGATAATGAAACATGCAGGAAGTTGGAAGCATTTCAAGAAAATTGAAATTGTTAAAAGAAAAGAAAAATGCATTCAAAAGAAATTTGGAATTTATCAAGAACTCGCATAACAAGCACAAACATTAAAACAAAATTAATTTTATAATTTAAATGGATATTGTCAGGATTTCTCACCATTTAAGTAATAAGCTTTAATATTAAATATATTCAATAATTTACATAATGTAATGAAAAATGAAAAACCTAAGGATTGAACCAGCGACCACCGGATTACAAATTTGATGCTCTCCCTATTAATCTATGATAATAACTGTTATGTTAAATTGTAAGTTAGCTCAATGCAATGTTATACTAACTAAGCCTCAAAGACTGATTAGCTAAAATCAAATATGTTACACCCAACAACTGCTAAGCTAGCCATCTGCGGGAAAAACAAAAATCACCCCCCCCCCCCCCCCACCATCTCCACAAAAAGAAACAAACTGAAAAACAACAGAGAAACCAAACTAAGATGTGGAAGCAAGTAAAGAACTAAGGTATAAATACAAAAGCTATTATAATAATGTTAGTGATAAATGAGCCATGTCATGACAAAACCAACATAATGGTTTTGCGACCAGCATGGATCCAGACCTGCCTGCGCATCCGCGCAGTCTGATCAGGATCCATGCTGTTCGCTATCAGTTTCTCTACTTGTAATAGGGTTTGTAAGCGAACAGCATGGATCCTGATCAGACTGCGCGGATGTGCAGGCTGGTCTGGATCCATGCTGGTCGCAAACCCATTATGTTGGTTTTGTCGTGACGCGGCTCAAATGTATTAGTGACCACTATGAACCCAGCATGCTGAATATTGCATGAGTATTCCTTACATGATTATAATGTTCGTCATCAATGATGTCTGTATATCTTATCCCGCTGGGTGTTGCACCAGCGGCGAGGCTAAACTGTTGACAAAATAGGCGATAAAAATAATGATAATAAAACACACAATAACAGCTAAATAATCATTGTAGGATACCCACGGCCGAACTATTAACATTTATCAGCCATGGGATTTTTGGCCAATATCCAGTCAATAAGAGGTGCCTCAAAGATAGCTACTCACGATTTCATGAGGCAACTTAAACCAATCAAAATGCTCGTTCAATACCATGTTAGGTATTACAGACAAAACTGAGGCAACCAATTAAATTCAGCTGTGCAAAGTTCAATATTAAAAATGTGAATAATTTCCAGAAAAAAGTCATAGCAAATTACTTTTACTGATAGTTTTTACCTTCGCCGATGATGAATATACATTTTGTTAAACGCGATTTCATTGGTTGATCCTTTATGCTCCTGTTGCTGTATACACAAATCAATTCATTTTAATCACAGCTTGAATACATGTTAATCAAATGTGGGTATCCAACAATTCTAAATAATGATCTTCATAATATATGATTGAACATAAAAATATAAACACAGGTAATAAAACACTGTCCAAAGCAAACTTTCCAACAAAATACATTGTATTACAACCAATTTTCATCCACTTGCCACAGTCATTGTGAAAATGGTAACCACAATAATCTAAATTACATTATAATTGCAAAATCAGTGCATTGGAGTACGATGATAACATGGAAAATAATACAGACAATTAACATTTGCTTCCAAACTGATGCTGATGATGGTAAAGATTGGATGATGTAATTCTAAATTACAAAAAAAAAAGAAAAAAAAGAAAAAAAAAGAAAGAAAACACGATTAAACTTTAAGTAGGGCCCAAAAAAAACTTTTTTAAAGAAGAAAATCAAACAGGAAAAAGATTTTTTTTCATATAAAGCAAAAAAATTTAAGTCAACGGTAAAACAGCCAAGAAAGAAAGCTACAAGTTTATAGAAACATAATAATGCTTAAATCAGCATTTCTGCCAAATATAACAGTAACAACATCAACATTCATACTGTACAAAGTCACTTTGACAGAGATATCAGAAAGGTTATAAACAAACTGACAAAGTCAAAACAAAACACACTTTATAAACAAGTACTACAATGTACATTTGCATATGATAAAATATCTAAAAATAAAGAAAAATCAAATATATACCAAAGTTTCATTGATTTACATATATCTTAATATACCCCATTTCTCACTAATATACTGCAAGTAAGTACCCTTTAAGAGCCACAAAACTGTCTCACAAATAAATCAGACAGAAAACAACTTAAAAGTCCTATCCAAAGTGTAAATATAACCTATAAAGAATTAGGAAGATATTTTGTAGATATCTAATGCCCCGGTCACATATTCACGGATAATGCCACGGAAGAGCTACGGTCTAATCGTTCACGGATTACCTCGGAAATGTGAAATTTCGTAGTCCGCTAAGGTTCCAGTACGGACACACAACGGTATGAGTACGGAGTCCGACGGATTTACCACCAAAAGCCCCCGGAGAGACACAGATTGTTACGGACCGACACGGTTTGATACGGAGCGACACGAATCAGGACGGACGCACTACGGATACACTACGGTCTGCTACGGTATAAGCACGGGTTAGTGCGAATAAGTACGGTCTGATACGGAGAAGAACGTATTGATACGGAGAAGAACGAATTGCCACGGATCTATACGGACCTAATACATCCGTCCACAACCTCTTGCTTGCTCATTTTCAAAATGCCTCAAAAGAAAAGAACACATAGAAAACGAATTGCAGAGTTCAATGATTTTGGCGGAGAGGACTCGGCCTAATCGCGTCCGACCCCCGAGGAACATCAGGTCCGATTAAAGTGAATTTCTTGAAGGACGCTGGATTTTCAACAAGTTCGACCATGAGAGACTCATACTAAACTTGAAGCGGTCTTCGTAAAAGCCCATCTCTAGTCCACCATCTCGTCTGTCTTCTCTTACCTGATAAGATATGGACTAGTTATCATTAAAGAAAAATGTTGATCAATACTGCTTTTCTTTTAATTTTAAGATTTGCTGTTCATCTTACAATTACATTAATTATCGTGATGTTTATGTTTTAAAAATATGTAAAAAGCTTGTTAATTAATCTTATTATCACTCAAAGGCCAGCCTCCGAGGCTTATGAGACACTTCGTTTTATGTACATATTTACTCCAATTTCACGATCCAATGTTTGTAAAATATGTAACATTAAATGTTATTCTATTACTTATAATTGTAGTACCGATAGTAATATAATTTTTTTACTTCTATGTATGTCATCAAGCCAGCGCGACCACTGCCTCCGCATTCTGAGCCATTTCAATATAAAGTTGCAGCCAGTAAATGGCAATTATCATTTATTAAATGTTTCCGCCCAAATATATCTGTTTTTAACAAGAAGGTAGTATTTATACCCATGAAAAAGTACATGATAATTAATTCATCCGTACTAAATCAGTGGTGGACCGTACCATTCCGTACCGTTTCGTGTTGTTGCAACGCAATAAACCGTATAAGACCGTGCTAATCCTTGCCCTCTCCGTAGTACAACGTATTACGATCGTGGCTTTCCGTGACAATGCTGTATTAATCCGTATTAAAACCGTAGCTTATACGTAGGGTAACCGTACAAATACGTAGTTCTCCGTACAAAACCGTGGAAATCCTTGACAAGTTGGTGGACTACGAATCAGTACGGACTAGTACGGTTTTCGTACGGACCAGTACGTATCAGTACGTATTAATACGGACTAGTAGGGATACGCTACGGTTGATTTTTCCGTAGCAAATTTTTGTGCATGTTCAAAAAATTGTCAAGGATCGCTACGGATATACAAGGACTACTACGATTTGATTACGGTTACAATACGGAGAGCTACTGACCAGTACGGGTAGCTACGGACGATGCCGGAATTAATCCGTGGCTCTTCCGTAAGCGTATTCCGTGAATATGTGACCGGGGTATAAATGTAGTAATTGGATGAATTATTCACAATAAAACTCAAATCCTGTATATCTGAAACCTTTACATGCACCAATTAATAACCTCAATGGAAAGCATAGTTATATAAAAACAAGAGGGCCATGATGGCCCTAGATCGCTCACCTGAATTATCAAACTCATCCAAACAATTACCTAGACAAGCATTCTGACCAAGTCTCATGACAGGTGAGTCAAAAATGTGACCACTACAGTGTTAACAAGGATTATCCATATTTGAGCAGTGCGACCTAGTTTTTAACCCAGGTGACACATATTCAAACTTGACCTAGAAATCATCAAAACAAACTTTCAGACCAATTTCCAGGATACTTGGATCAAAACAGTAGCAACTTAGAGTGTTAACAAGATTTTTCTATTTTTAGCTCCGGTGACCTAGTTTCACATGCGATTTCGAACTAATCCAAGCAATTACCTAGACAAGCATCCTGACCAAGTTTGATGATAATCGAGTCGAAAATGTGACCACTAGAATGTTAACAAGGTTTTTCCATATTTGGGCGGTGTGACCTAGTTTTTCATCCAAGATGACCCATGTTTGATCTTGACTTAGAAATCATCAAAAAAAACTTTCAGACCAATTAACAGAATATTTGGATCACAACAGTAGCCACTAGAGTGTTAACAAGATTTTTCTATTTTTAGCTCATGTGACCTAGTTTTTCATCCGAGATGTCCATGTTCGATTTATTCCAAGCAATGACCTATTCAAGTTTCCTGACCAAGTTTGATGACAATTGAGTCAAAATTGTGACCACTAGAGTGTTAACAAGGTTTTTTCTATTTTTAGCTCCTGCTGACCTAGTTTTTCATCCGAGATGACCCATGTTCGAACTCATCCGAGATATCACCTAGACAAGCATCTTGATCAAGTTTGATGATGATTGATGCAAAAATGTGACCGCTAAAGTGTTAACAAGGTTTTTCTATTTATAGCTCCGGTGACCTAGTTTTTCATCCGAGATGACCCATATTCAAACTCATCTGAGCTATTATCTAAACAAGCATCCTGACAAAGTTTGATGATGATTGGGTCAAAAATGTGACCACTAGAGTGTTAACAAGGTTTTTCTATTTATAGCTCCGGTGACCTAGTTTTTCATCCGAGATGACCCATATTCGAACTCATCCAAGCAATTGACTAGACAAGCATTCTGACCAAGTTTGATGATGATTGGTTCAAAAATGTGACCACTAGAGTGTTCACAAGGTTTTTCTATTTATAGCTCCTGTGACCTACTTTTTCATCCGAGATGACCCATGTTCGAACTCATCCGAGCTATCACCTAGACAAACATCCTGACCAAGTTTGATGATGATTGGGTCAAAAATGTGACCTCTAGAGTGTTCACAAGGTTTTTCTATTTTTAGCTCTTGTGACCTAGTTTTTCATCCGAGATGACCCATGTTCGAACTCATCCGAGCTTTCAACTAGATAAGCATCCTGACCAAGTTTGATGATGATTGAGGCAAAAATGCGACCGCTAGAGTGTTCACAAGAAATTGTGGACGGCCGGACGGACGACGGACGACGGACGACGGACGACGGACATTCACCGATCCTAAAAGCTCACCCTGAGCAAGCTCAGGTGAGCTAAAAAATTAACACAAGTAAGGAAAACATCCTGGTTTGTGCATCAGTAACTTCACACTGATTGCATATTGAAATAAATCTTAAATCTATAATAATTACTAGACAAGGTTATAATTAAAAAAATTTTCTGAGCTGAAACTCAGATCTCGGATATTTGATTGGTCAGAAACTAACAAAGAATTCATACTAACCAATCAAAACACTGAGATAAACAACCAATGAAAATACTGAGATTTAAAACAACCAATGAAAACACTGAGATTAGAAACAACCAATGAAAACCCTGAGATTTCAGAAAGAGCTCAGAAAAAAGTTATATAACCTCTAGGCCAGTTCAGTATCTAAAGATATGCAGAGCAACTTTAATTATTCTTTTTAGGGGCCATACTTTAGAGTAAATAGATTAATAATTACAGACCTAAATCATAATCAGTACATGTATTTGGTAATACAAATATTTAGAAGGTGTTGGTATATTGATAGAAAATTTCTGGTTACATAAAAGGAGACTGTGAATCTACTTATATTTTCTAGCTATTTAGGTATATTGTCCATATACATTACTCTATATCATAAAAAAATATTGATTTCACATCAGAGCTTCCATTAAAGTCCAAAATTTGGATGTTATATTATCATACATAGCATTAAAATTTTGATGCCACAAGCCAACATTAGGGAGTAAGTTTCTCCACGAAAGAGTTATTTTCTCCAAGACTTCCACCAAAGGAAGCCCTGTCTGATTATCATATTTTGAAAAGACTTTATTTTACCTTTTTTAATTAACATATATTATGTCTGGAAATAAGTCTTGACACAGAAAAACAAAATACTTAAAAATAACTTAAATTTCAGTCAGACAGGTCAAACAATTTTTAAACAGACTTTCTCACAGATACACCTTCAAAATACTTACATTTTAAAACAGACTTTATCTTACATTTTAGAAACAGACTTTATAATACTTACATTTTCTAGGTCATATTTGGGATCTATATGTCTGGAGATATACCCCTCAAGATAGGAATAGAACTTCTGGGTGGGAGGGAAGAAATTCAGTAGAATAGCCATTAGTTCCCATCCTCTCTGTAAACTGTCCCTGTAATAATATTACATACATTTACATGTATTTTCATGTATTTACATACATTTACATGTATTTTTAAACAATTATAAACATTTACATGTATTTTCAAACAATTATATACATTTACATGTATTTAGAATACTATCAGGCATTTTCATGTATTTTCATACATTTACAAGTATTTTCAAACAATTATATACATTTACCATGTATTTTCAAACAATTATATACATTTACATGTATTTAGAATACTATCAGGCATTTTCATATATTTTCAAATATTTACATACATTTGCATGTATTTTCAAACAAAAACATTCATTTACATGCATTGAGAATACTATCAGAATATGTTTCAACAATTCTTTTATTTCCTTTTTTGCTTTAAGATCACATTAATTTTATTGGATAACATATGGTCACTTTCTTGTGTACATCAACTGCTTTCAAGGTACCAACAGGTACCTGTGTAGAACCATCATTCTTCCACCAGCTACATGTAGCTGGATGTGGTTCAAATACCAGCACTCCACAAAACAAGTCAAATGTGTAGCCACTAAACCTATACCATGTAAATAATTTTCACAAAATATATAATTCACAAAACTCACTTCCTTTTAGTGAGTTTCCAGCATTTTCTGGGAAAGAAAGATTTCATGCTGTCCTATTAATGCATTTCTGTTCATGCAAGATTGGCCTAATAGATAAAACCACCAACTTTACATGATCTCACAGTATAATTTCTCAAAAGAAAGTCTCCAATATCCTTATTAAGACTTAAACCAAAAAACATCCAGGGCAGGTAATTCAAAGTCTGTAACCATTACCACTTACAAAATAGCTTCAGAGTACAGGAATATACCTATTTTATCATTTATACTTACTCTTTCTTATTTTCTGTTGTTTGTCTACATATCTGTATGAAAGTTTCATCACGAAGGTCAGGACCGACAGACCATCCTTTTATGGTGATCTCGAGAGCCAACTGGGACTGGGTTAACTTGGTCTTCCTATCTCCCATGTATGACTGTATCAGTAATTAAAGTTAAGGCAAATTAACAGTTATCATTAATAGTTATCATATATGAAAGTTACCATCACTGAAAGTGACCATTATTACAGTAACACTTAAGAATAATAACATTTCAACATTTAATTTAGGAAGTACAGCCATCATAGGCTTATTGAAAATTAGCGCACATTTTTATTATCTGTGACTGTCTTAATGATGATGAATTGAAATAAAATTCATTATCAAATAACCATTTAAATAAAGAAATATTTTCACAGAGTCCACCTACTGGCAGAGAAAAAAATCATTTCACAACTCTATACAGTATTGCTTTACCTCTTAAAGAAATTCTCCATTTTTTTTTTAAATGAAAGACTACATTTAACTTTCCAGCATTACTGACAAAAGACCCAAGGTGGTTTTCTGTGCATTTTTTACAGTCACTAGAGAGTACCTGGGTAGAATAATTACCCACCTGCAATAAGCCAGCTAAATAGCTTCCTAATATGAAAGAAATATTTCATATAACTACCGTATAAGTACTTTTTTCTGCGGGAACTTTATTTCTGCTATGTCTGCGGTTCTTAAGGACACCGCAGATTTTAAAACCGCAGAAAATTAAGCCTTTCACTATGTCTATATCGGAATATGTCAACTACCGGTATTGTATAATTACATTACCATGTACCGGTATCGGTGTTTTCTTTATGTATCCGTCATGAATAAAATGTTCGTTTACTTGTTCTTTTTGTTTAAATAAATATCATGTTTGTATGATTTTCGCTCACCCTAAGCTTGACTATTTTTTGTAAAATAAAACTATTATATATAGTTTGACGTGTGCAATAAACATACCCTTTTGTATTTGTACAATTTCTTGTGTCTACGTGCGATTTTACATTGTTTATTTTTCACACTTCATATTCATACACATGCAGTATTACAATTAATTGTTGTCATTGCACGTTGTTAATCTTTGTTTATTAATGTTTATATACTGATACATGATGATTACGATAACACACATTAGAAGTCGTCTGCATGTTTACCGGAAGTAATGTACATGTTACATCAACAAATCTTGAAATGTTGTCTGTTTGTATCGGTTCATTTTGTAAAAATATCTAAATTAAACCGCAGAAATAAAATACATCAATGCGAGAATGATAACACTGCAGAAATAAGATACGCAAAAATTTAAAACCCCTTATTTTAACAAAAATCGCAGAATATTAAGCCCGCAGAAATAAGTACTTATACGGTAGTAAGATGTGAGACTTTAGCAGTTCGTTTGTATGTAACCATAACCATGAGTAAAACAAAGTCCCATTCTTTATTCTATATAATATGAAAATATTGTATAATTTGAAAGAAAATCAATAAATATTTGCAAATTTAAAAAAAAGGATATGTTTAAACACTTCCACAGCCTCTTTCTTTACATTCTTGTCTGTTGTTCTCAACATTGGTTTGGTTATAGGATCCTGAAAATTATAAAGAAAACAAGAAATGTATTATACAATCTATCAATTAATAACTTCAATCTATCAATTAATAAATTTATTCAACAATACAAAGTTCTATATAATAGCCCACGGATAATAAGACGAATTATTTCGATAGCAAATAATTGATTTTATTTTTGCGCACGAAGTTCACGTGATTTGTATGCAGCCTTGATTTTGGCGGTAAATTATGCGGATTACCTCGGTTACACTATATATCACCGACACATCCGTTTCCGTCAGCATTGTGCTTGAGAACTTGTGCTGTAAACATCGCTTGATAAAATCAGTTTCAATCACCAATTTATATTGCGCATCATGCCTCCTAAACGCAGAGGAAGGAAAAGGAAAGCAAGAACTTCAGATGAGGGAGAGTGTGAATCTCGGCTTTTACAGCCTGATCCAGGTAACCGTTCTTTACCTTCACGTTGTTCTTTACGTTCTAATGTAATAGATTTTGAAGAAATAATAAGAGGTTCGGGTATATTGCCCGCTTCTGATGATTCGCTAATTCAAGTAATGCTGTTAGCAACAAAATATTAATGAGGGGTGTGGTGGTGTTTTTCAACAAACAACAATCAATTGTCAGAAACAGATCGTGCGCAGGTAGTTGCTAATCCCCATGTGCGCCACGTCACGCTCT